TTGCTTTTTTGGCGTTGATAGGGGATTTATTAAGCTCCCTGCATATTTACTGGATTGCCCAAGTGCCAATTGGCCAGAGGTGAGAAATGGCTAAGGAAAGAATCTAAGCGGGAAAAGTTTGGGACGGTCTTTCAGTTTGCTTTGGGCAAGTAGATACCCAAGATCCAGAATTTCTTGGTGTCCCCCAGAGTGAAGGTGGCTTATTCAGATTTGGAGGTTGCTTCATACTGTCTGAGGAGATTTTGAGGAGCCACACCAGTGAGAACCAGAAAGTACATGCAGTTTTACCAGCTATGGACTTCAGGTGTTGAATTCAACAGTGCTTCCTGATATGTGATACTGTGCTGATGAGCCACAGTGCCCTCCCCTGCCATAGTGGGATATTTATACTCTTGCCCCCCAAATGAGCCACCTTAGGTGGGACTAGGGAGCACCTATGTAGGGAGCTTGTACTTGAATCTGACTGAAGAGTGATCACAAAAGGACTAAGTAGGAAAGATATTTTCCAACTGGAAGGTACTGAGCTACATGAATTCCTGCCTTCTTATTCCTCCCTCTAGAAGGGAAGAGTCTAGAGTTAAGTGCGACCAGTTACAGAAAATAAGAGGAGTTTCACATTTTAAGCAGGGGTTTTTGGGTTGAAACAAACCCCTTCATTTGAAGGGAAAAACACTTATTTGAGTTAATGTTTTTAAAAACTCATCTAGCTCCTTTTATCTTCATGCTTTTTAGGCAAGGCACCAGAGTCAACCAAATCATTGATCCAATAAAGGCCAGAAATACCTTTGTGACAAATGAATAGATTGGAGTTTGTATTTGTTCCCAGCTGCATGAAACACACCAGGTATGTTTCATAACAAACCAACAACATTATGTTACATGAAATGCGTCTGGAGAAAGAATTATTCAGTGAGTTACTGGAAATTGTCTTTAGAGGCCCCATATGAGGTCCCAGTTTCCAGACTTTTCTTGACCCTGGTAATCTGATATCTTCCTCTCATCAACAGTGTGTGTTGCGCATCAATAAAGTCAGAGTAAGAACCAGGCAAGGAGAGCCCACTGCAACTTCAGAGTCATATCACTCCTGGGCTGGAAAAGTTGTCAATCTGAATACTTACTTTATTCAACATATTTAACTAGGCAAGGTGGCACACCTATAGCCCCAATACTCAGGAATTTGAGGCAGAAGGATCACTTGGGCTTAAGAGTCCAAGGTGGGCCTACGTTAGTCAGAGTAAGAACCAGGCAAGGAGAGCCCACTGCAACTTCAGAGTCATATCACTCCTGGGCTGGAAAAGTTGTCAATCTGAATACTTACTTTATTCAACATATTTAACTAGGCAAGGTGGCACACCTATAGCCCCAATACTCAGGAATTTGAGGCAGAAGGATCACTTGGGCTTAAGAGTCCAAGGTGGGCCTACGTTACATAGTGAAACTCTATCTCAAAAATCTTTTTTTTTTTTTTTTTTTAAGACAAGGGCTCATGTATCCCAGGCTGGCCTCAACCTCCCTATGTAACTGAGGATAGCCTTGAATTCCCAATTCTCCTGTCTTTGCCCCCCTATGTTGGGATTACAGGCACATACCTGCAATTCCTCCCCTCCATCAAAAAAATCTTATATCTAAAAATAATTTCCATTTTTAAAGAATGAAGACTTTTTTTTCTTTTAAGACAGGGTCTCACTATGTACCCCAGGCTGGCCTGGAACACATGCTATATATGGCCTCAAACTTAGAGAAATCCACCTACCTCTGCTTCCTGAATGCTGAGATTAAAGCCATGTACCACCAGGCCTGGCCCACCATTTACTTACTTAATTACTTATTTAGAGACAGAGCCGCTCACTGGTCTGGAACGTGCCAGGGAGATTATGCTTGTTGGCCAGTGAGCCCAGGGATCTGCCTGTCTTCACCTCCCCAGTGCTGGTATTACAAGTATATGTATGTCGTCATGACCAGCTTTTTAAATGTGGGCCGTAAGGATGAAACTCAAGCCCTCACAGTTGCAAGGCAGGCACTTTGCTGACTGAGCCCTCTCCTCAGACCTTCATTTTTGTTTTCTGTCCCGCTTTTTACCCCTCTAGTACTGGAAATTGAACTCAGGGAATTGTGTACATGCTAGGCAAGGACTCTACCACTAAGCTGCCTTGCAAGCCCTCACTGTTGCTAAGAGTCCTTAGAACAACTGAACCATTTCCCACAGAATGCTAAGTGTTGGCTCCAGATGCCAGGGTGGGACAGTGAACACAGAATGTCTTACATACATTCTTAGCACACAATGAACACTCAGATTACAGGGCCAGGCTCTATTCCGGGCCCAGTTTGTCAAAGTTGGTCTCTAAAACATTGTGAAGATTGCTTGGCAACTCCTATGTCCTAGTCCTTCTTCATCAACTCAGAAATTCTTAATTGAGAGTCTATTCTGGGTTACTCATTGTACTGATTAAAGTAATTCACATTAATGGGCAATGACTGATCGGCTTAGTCCTCTAAGGGGCAGTCCCATTTCTAAAGGGTGCACATTACTCCAGATAACTCTCCCATTCATGGAATAAATGTGAAGCAAACCATTAATGCTCTATTTGGGATTTTCTATGGCAAAACAAGAGGCTCTCTTTAATTTGGTGTTCCAAAGCAGCTCTGCTGGTCCTTAGGAAGTCTAAGACAGAGAATCGGTGTGCCTGCAGGAGTGACTGTGTGAGCCCACACGTGTATGGTGCTGCCCACCTCATTTTGTGACTGTCTAGCTCATGGTTGTATCACCTTCACCCATGCTCTAAATACCGAACAGAGGAAATTCATATTTAGAACATGGTTAATCTGTATTTCTTTCATTTCTGTTGCTATGACAAATACCCTGACCAAAATGAACTTTGAAGAAGATAGGTCTGTTTGGCTTACAATTCCAGGTCATAGTCCATTATGGAGGGAAGTCAAAACAGGAACTCAAGGCAGGAAGTTGAAGGCAAGCCTGCTTACTATACTATACAGCATCACCACTGAACTTACCCCTGAACTTACTTCATAGCCAAAAGAATGCAGCATCAGACACCATAGAAAACTGGAATGCTGGGTGGCTGGCTGGCCGGCGCATCCTTCTATCTTTTTTTTTTTTTTTTTTTTTGGTCTTTTTGAGACAGGGTCTCCCTGTAGCACCAGCTGTCCTGGAACTCACTACGTAGACCAGGCTGGCCTTGAACTCACAGAGATCTGCCTGCCTCTGCCTCCCGAGTGCTGGGATTAAAGGCGTGTGCCACCACCTGTAGTTCAGAGCCATCTGCCCAGGGAATGGTGTTGCTCACTGTGGGCTCAGCTCCCCTACATGAATGAACAATCAAGATAATGCCCCCAGGGACATGGCCACAAACCAGTGGGAAATTCCTCAAGCTCTCTTCTCAGGTGATTTTAGGTTGTGGCCTGTTCACATTTAAAACCTACCAGCAAAAACAATGAGGCTTTCTGTAAGAAACAGTATATTTTAGAATGAAATGGAGATCTTTTTTGAGTGTTACAAACTCATATGTCTTACAGGGCTTATACTGAGTTCAATATTGTATAACTGTATCGATTCAATAGTGAACCTAGAAATTTTATAGCCACTTTTGAAGGTGCTGTGTCTTTGCTCTGGGAACTGTTATTGGGCATGTTAAAGCTGTAATAATATGCTTCTTCTAAAAAAAATTAAAAAATATTTAAAAAAACCCTACCAGCACACATACTCTTTAATTGTGAGTTCTTGTTCTCAGCATCCTATTCTTTAATTTTCTGTGGAATATTCTTTGGATGCTCAACTTTAAAAAGCTTTTTAGGAGCATGGTCTTGCAGTCAAGAAGTTCTTGGTTCCTGATTCTTTCTTTAATATGGAAAATCCAGAATGAGTTGGAGGCCAGAGACAGGAAGGACTAAGGGACCTGAAGCAGGTGGCCTGTTTTCCCAGTGTGGCCTGGACTCAACTGGTTATAGCCACCTTCCAATCGCAGTCAGACTTATGAGGCATGCCCTCCCTGGGACATGGCACCTTGCAGTGCTTAATACAGCTAACTGGCTTGACCAGGGTCCCATCAGTTTATGACACTGGTCAAGCCACACAGTCTCAGGCTGTATAGCTTCTCTGCATGGTGATGAAAAACAGATTGAGCCCGGCATGGTGGTGCACGGCTTTAATCCCAGCACTCCGGAGCAGAGGCAGGTGGATCTCTGAGTTCAAGGCCAGCCTGGTCTACATAGTGAGTTCCAGGACAGCTGGGGCTACAGGGAGACCCTGTCTCAAAAAGACAAAAAACGAAACAAAAAACAAAACAAAACAAAAAACCGATTGAACTGTGACTGACAGAGCAGCCATGTTTTATACACCCCCACCCCACAACCAAGGATCTGTGCCTGAGAGGTTCCACAGGCTCTTTCAGTTCCAGAAGCTTCTCCATGCTGGGAAGCCAGGCAGCAAACAGGTATGTGAGGGTCTGTCAGGGTTTCTGCCCCTATCTGCTAGAACGACCCCGTCGGGTTGGCTGTGTACCCTCACATCTCCAGTGGAGTGATGATAGGACCAGGAGGGCAGAAATAAAGAGCCTTGGGAGTGGGGATGCTGTGACCGACCCTGCTAGGCATGTTTAATTACAACTACCACTTGCCCTTTTACTATCCCGGCTAGGTCTTGAACCTTTATGACAGTACCCTTTATCTGCCTTTTGAAGGCAGTTCGCCTGGGATACAGAAAAAGAATCAAATTCCCGAAACGAAAATACAAATGTAGTCAAATCTGTAGTGTTTCCTCCGGCCCGCGGAGGGAAGTCACCGGAGGGAAGTCAGAGAGCCCCAAGAGGTCGCTGGTGGCGCAGGAACCGAGGCCAGATCGTAGAGAATGGGGGAAGAGAAAAAACACACCCAGAAACTTTCTTCCTTGTTGCGGATTATCGGCCCCCTCTGCCCTCCCCGCCCGCCCCAGCAGAAGCCGTAACGTGACACCAAGGGAGCAGGCAGAGCCTAGGGGGAGAGGGAGGAGCGGGGCCGTGGGGAGGAGGGCGGCCGCCTGGCGCGGAGGAGTAGGGGAGGAGAAGAGGGAAGCCCCTGTCCAGGAGGTGGAGCGAGGGGGTGGTGTCCGCCTCCGATCGTCCCTGCCGAGAGCTAGCAGAGCCGGAGCTGGGACAAAACACGCCGAGCCACGACCCACACAAAGCCGGGGGTCCACGCTGGCGCTGGAGGCGAGCCCCGGTGTCCGCGAGCGAGCCCGAGGCGCGGAGGGCCGTGGGGCGCGGAGCCGCTAGCCGGGCGCGCGGGACGGGGTGCTGGCTGCGCTCGGCCCTGAAGCCCGGGACACCTCGGGCCGCTCGGGGCCGCGGCGGGCGGCGGGGACCATGCTGAGGAAAGTCTCCTGAGCCCCGCAACTTCAGCCCCTCCCCGCCCCCACCCGGCTGTCCTCGGCGCGGCCCTCCATGTGCAGCCAGCCGGCCGCGCGCTCCTGCTCGCGGCGGATGGGTGACCTCTTCCTGGCCCAGGCTGGCTGTGCGAGGCGGCGGAGCCGGCGATGAAGCAGCCGCAGCCGCAGCAGCAGCAGCAGCAGCAGCAGCATCCGGGCGGCGCGGATCCCTGGACCCATGGGGTCCCCGTGGGGGGCGCCCCTCCGTGCCTGGGCGGCTGGAAGCGCCGGGTCCCGCTGCTGCCTTTCCTGCGCTTCTCGCTCCGGGACTACGGTTTCTGCATGGCCACCCTGCTGCTCTTCTGCCTGGGCTCCCTCTTCTACCAGCTCAACGGGGGACCCCCTCGCTTCCTGCTTGACCTGCGGCAGTATTTGGGTAAGGAAGGGCGGCGCCGACCGCTCAAAGTTGGGCTCCGGGGGAAGAGGGGACGCGCTGGGGACTTCTGATGCAGCCGCTGGGCGCCCGCGGTCCTCGAGGCTCCCCAGGTGTGATGCCGGCGAGCATCCCTCTGTGCAGCGGCCGGGAGCGCCTGCTTCCTCCTGCGCTCCCGGCTGTCCGCAGATACGCGGGGCGTCCCGGGTCGCACAACTGGGCAGGTACCGCAAGGCGGTGACACCGTATACCTGTCCCGGTTCCGTCCCTCCAAGTGGGGCAGGGTAGATGCTTTTGTGAGTGTGTGTGTATACTCTGGCTAGTCAGGTCGGGGTGTGTCCGTACTCTTCATGACCTCAGTGATTTACAATCCCATCCGGTCTTGCTCTCTCTGTGTGCGCGGGAGTTCTGTCCAGCGGGTTCCCTTTTCACCTGCTGGTCCAGGGGGTACCTTCTGTCCCTCAGCTGGCTTATCCCTTGGCAGCACCTGCTCACCCCACCGGCCGTCCGAGAGCTGGGGCGGTCCTTAGGTGCTAGTCAGCACCTGGCTATGTCCTCAAGTCAGAACTTTTTCTCTTTCTTGGTTTGTGGTTGAATAAGGAAGGAGTTGGGAACAGGGAGAAGAGAGGTTTTGGTGAGTTGTAACCTCGCTGTTTCCTTCTGCGGACATCTGAGCCAGGTGTGCTAGGGCTTGGCCAGCGCCCACGCAAGTCCCAGGAATGATGCTAGCTTGCTTCCTGTGCCAAGGAAGGATGCAAATCCCGCGAACGTCAGTGGCCAGAAGAGGTCGTGCGGGGGTTGGGAGAACTCTAGCGTCATTCGAACCTTCTATGTGATAAACCTGAGCTATCTGGCAAACAGCTGTGATGTACGGATGATATACAGATATACGCGACTCTGCTAAACTGGAAGCAGAGTGGACTGAATGACGCCGCCGAACTACGGACTCACATGTATCGCAAAGGTCCTTTCCTCACAGAAGCCACAGGTCTAGGTAGCAGACCATATCGAAGAAAAAACTAAAAACACAAAACCACATCAGCAAAATGACAAGCGTGTTAGGGCATTTGGAGATGTAAACATGAAATAGTGCTCCTTCTATGGATGGAAGCTCACATTTTAGGTTTTCATTTCAGTAAAAACATTGGGCACTATGCTTTTGCAAGACGCTTTATGGAAGATTAAAGAAAAAATATTGCCTTGGTTAGATTTCCAAAGCACATTTTTTACCATCTGCTTTTATAGGTTTGGGATAATAGGCCCTTTTATTGGGGAGTTTAATCTCTTCATTCCCTGCAATTTTGCACTTTGAAGTCTTAATAGGTTCTCTGCTCTCAGTCTCACTATGGACAATAATCACTGTTAACTAGCATTAGGATCCTTGAAGCTGATGGGTATTTATCCATAGAATTCTCTAATGCTCCAGCCCCGACCAGAAGTTCCTTTTAATCAAATTAGGAGTTCTAGAACACTGAGGATAGTGTCTTATCTCCTGAAGACATCTGTGTCCACTCTTAACAGGAACGCTTAACTTTGGGCACTGTGCTTAGACTTTACAGCCTCAGCTTTTCATGGTATAGTTTGGGGGTAGACTTGGCTTTCCACAAACCCACACCTAGCTCTTAAAATTCCAAGGTTCTGAAACCCTTTGTGAGGAAGGGAAACCCAGGGGAGGGAAGGAGCAAGGGCACTTGAAGGTTTAAAATCCAGAAAGTTCATTATCTGCAGTGTTCATCTTTTCAGTATATATTTCAGAAGGTGAGGCCTGATGAGTGTGTGGGGGTGGTCAGCTCTTAGAAGGGTGAGCTGGCCACACTCCCTGAGGGACTGGGAAGAGGGGAGGAGGGTGAGCTGTATTTCACTGACCATTACATTTTTGACTGGCATGAGGGTTAAACATGACATCTTTGTCAACTGAAAATAGAATCCTTTTCACCAAATTTCTTCCGTGTTGTTTTGTCACATAAATAATGGTTTTCGGGAAAAGTGGGTTTGTGGTCTTTAGGATGATCTAAAATATGACTTGAATTATATCAGGCCATGCTCTCTGCAGACTTGCCGTCCCATTCTCCATTTTTTATTTTAGTTTCTATCCAAACAAAATATAGGGCTAGTAAAAATATTCTCTGGATTTCTTAGCCAGTTTTGGAGGCAAATATTTTTATCAAATGTAAATGTATACAAAGTCCATGAATTTGTAGTATACATTTTTCTTTACAGAGTATAATTTCAGTATATTTGGATGGTGTTATACATTTGATACATGGGAGCTTTGTGATTAGTATTGGTCAAATTAATGACTAAAACTGTTTTATCAAATAGGTAGTACGATATTTGATGTTTAATGTATTGAACGTTCTCATGGGAAAACAAAAAGATACAGGCTTTCTTGTGAAAGCTAACACTGTATATGTTCCAGTTAGTGCGCAAACAGAATGGAAGTTAATCCACATGGCTTCTGATTGGTAGCTCCTATTGTTTTTCCCATTTTTATATGGAAAAATTGAGGGCTAAGACTTAATGGAGGTGTTGGATCTGGAATGCTTGTCAAAGGCCAATGGGCCAAAGGTTTTGTCCTTAGCTTGGTACTATTGGAAGGTGGTGGAAAACTTAAGAGTTGGGGGCAAACGAGGTTTTAGGTCACTGGGGTATGCCCTCTAGAGGGGTCATTGGACACTGGTCTCTTCTTTCAGTACTCAGTCATGAGGTGAAAGGGTCTCCTCTGTGTGCTTTTGCCATGGATATACTGGGCTACCACAGGCCCAATGCAGTGGGGCGGAGTGGGGGGGAGGTCAGTCAACCTCAGACTGTTATCACCAAAACTGTGAGCCAAAAGAAGCCGTCTCACTTTCTAAGTCAGTTCATCGCAAGTACCTGCTGCAACAACGGAAAGCCAGAGGGGACATACGGAAAGTAAAGTAGACCCTGCACCTAAAGCTGTCTGATTCGAGAGCCCAGTGAAGAGCACCATGGGCAGCTTAAGAAAGAAGAGCACAAATACAATCAGGATGAGAAGGGGAATCTAGCAAGCTGGCTGGCTAAAAGATCTCCATATTTACTTCCATAATTTCACTTTCTTTTCTTGATACTTCTACTCTGTCTTGAGGAACCACCAGAGATGGGAAATAATTGAAGCATCTGGTCTGTTCAAACTCTGTCTTCTAGTTTATGTTACTTTTCTTACCACTATGACAATTATTTGACAGAAACAACTTGAAGAAGAGGAGTTCATTTTAGCAGTGTCTGTTGAGGGCTCATCACATCTCATTGGACCAGAAGTAGGGCCTGGCTATAACCCTCAAAGGCCTGCCCCTTGTGGTCTATACCTGCCGGGTAGGCCCCATGTTCAAAGGAGTTCTGCAACCTCCAAAATGGTATAATCAGCTGGGAACCATAGTTAAAACATTTGAGCCTGTTGGGACATTTCACATTCAAACCATAATACCATTAATAACTGTCATGCTGCCTCTCTGTATTAGAAAACCGGACTCCTGCTGGGTAACACAATAGCCATAGATAAGGGTCAATGGACCCTCAGTTCCCTGGTCCTTCTCCCTCTGGAACAGTTGTTCTGTGTCTAGGTTCATGATTTTCAGTGTGACTTGCTAGACCAGGATCATCAGCATCCCTTGGGAATGTGTTACAAATGCAGATTCTCAGGTCTCCTCTTGGACCTTCTGAATGAGCCTGGGCACAAGCCCAGCAACCTGTGCCTTAGCAAGGTCTCAGGTGATCTTCCCTCAGCTGCAGTTTGAAAACCATTGTTCAGGTATAAAGCATTGTTTTCAGGAGGCTGCACATATATCTGGGAGGAAAGGGAGCTGATTTATGAAGAAGTTTCAAGGTCATATCCATGTTTTAATTTTTTATTTCAACTGATATAAATGAATCTGCTTTATTATTTAACCCTCCTTGTTTGGTGGGGAAGAACCAGTTAGCAGCTGCAGCCCCAGCTGGCTTTAGACTTCTCCAGAATATGAGAGGAATGGGGTGGGGCAAAGTGGGGTAGCCAGAGAGCAGGGTGTGGGGAAAGGGACAGGAGACAGGTGCATTTCCTTCCCAACAGTGAGGGTCCTGTGTGAAAAGCCTTCTTCCAGCCAGTTTGGGGAAGTGCAGAGTGTTTTTCTGAAGAAACTATTGCAATTAAGTTTGAAAAGAGGAAAAGAAGACTGGGCAAGAAAACAAGACGGAGATCATTGTCTTTATCCCCCTCCAGTCACGGGTAGAGGGAGGAGAGCACAGATATTCACTGAGGTAAAGAGTAAATCTAGCAAAGGCGCCCATAGTCTTTCCAATTTAGTGAATTCAATAAAAAAAATTTATTATGTGTGTGTGTGTGTGTGTGTGTGTGTGTGTGTGTGTGTGTGTGTGTGTGTGTGTGTGTGTGTGTGGAAGGCATGTGCAAGCCATGGTACATGTATGGAAGCCAGAAGAAACTTTGTGGAGTCAGCTCTTTCTTTCCACCTTCTTGTGGGCTTCAGGGATCAAACCCAGGCTGCCAGGTTTGTACAGCGAGTGACTTTTACCAATGAGCCATTTTGCTGGCCTGAAATTCTGTTTTGTTCTGGGTTTTGTTTTGTTTTCTGTTTTTTGAGGCAAAGTCTCACTATGTAGCCTTGGCTGACCTGGAACTTGCTATGTTGACTAGGCTGGCTTGGAACTCAGAAAGATCTGCCTGCCTCTGCCTCCCAAGTGCTGGGATCAAGAGATCCAAGGTCTGTGCAACCACACCTGGCCTTTTAAATTTTTTTCGGTAGTATTCAAACTTTGTTTGCTATAGAAAAAAAACTCCTAAAATCCCCCCCCAATTGGGTTGTGATGCAGCCTCATTGGCAGTAGTCCCCTCACTTATGAGCTGTGGAAATATCAAAAACTTGGACGAACACTCTTTAGATTGATATAAACAGAATGAGCCAGATGGCTCACTATGGATCTTGTACAACCAGCAGACGCTAACGATTTAGCATCAAGCCTTGGATATGTGAGTTAGCCTTTATAGCAGC